TTCCCCTATATGATCCAGTTTTTTCTGTCTTTCCCAAAGATAGTTTATGTATGACCAGACTGAACTAGCTGTTGGCCTTGACTCTTGAGTCAAATTTTTGATTCCAGTATGAAAGGTAGTTGAACAAATTTGGGAGATTGACATATCTTTTCTGTTTGGGGGAGAATGAAAAATGGCTGGTCAGAGTGAGTGTCAGAAATGGGGATGGTCTATACTGATGTCAATTTTGAGTTAAAAATATACTTTGGGCCTGTCCTGGCCCTTTTGTAGCCCTGATTAATGATTTGAGTGATGGGGCAGCTTAAACATATAATCCCTATTTTTTTTAAAGGAAAAAAACCAAACTAATGGGCTGCCCCCTCCGCCCTTATTAGCCAGTGCCAATTAGGCACGTGGCTAAATGGGCTGCGAGAATGACGGGCCAAATCTGCCCATTTCCACAGTTTTACGGACAGGCCTCAGCCCCGTTTTCACAGTGCTAGCATGCCATTGTTGATACTGTATCCCTTTTTTCCTGGTTATGGTTCAATTGAAGGGGTGATTTTATCAAATCATGCTATATATTAGAAGTGTATTCATGGTATCAGGAATGTAGAACGGAGCTGGTATCCTCGGAAACTTCGGAGACTGTCGAATCTTCTGAGGATGGTGGTTTTAAAGCTAATCTTATTGAGGGAAGTAAGGATGATCTAGAGGGAGATGTGATTTCTGATCAGATTCCCACATTTGCAATCCATGAAAAGTCACCCTTGCAGCCCAGCTCAGATGGACTTGAGGCATCACTTTCGGATTCTACTGAACACAAGCCATCAAGAGTACCACTGCAGGACGAAGTGCTTATAAATGGTGAAATGGAGCCTGCTGAGGCTGCAGAGAGAGATTTTGTAGCTAGAAAGTTTGATAAGAACGGAAGTTCAATTACCATCCAGCATGGCAAAACTCATTTTAATCAAAAGAGCCACGACTTTAGTACACAGAAGGTTAGTGCCTTATTTGGAATCCGTTGTCTTGCAATTCATTTATTTAATCATATTTTTAAGGAGAGAAAATGATGTTGTATCTAATTATAGATGAAGCATATTACTATGACATGAAAGTCACTACCTTTCCTTTTCTCACAACACGCGTACACACACCCCACATGGACCAGTAAATCTCTCCTTCGAAGTAATCAATAAACATTACGGGAATATGGTAGATATAGAGTACCGAGTAATGTTAATACTGCCATTTCAACTTTTAAACTTGCAGGGTAGTTTGTCAATTTCTCTAACCTGAAACTTAGTAATATGTTCCTCATAAGAGTTTCAAGGAAATCAATTGGGTACATTAACCTATAGCTGCTAGTTTTCACAAGGCCTTGCAGACTGAATATTATTGTAATCTGAATACTCTACAATGATAAGGAATAGTAATAACTTAAGTAAAATAGAGGGTCTATCGATAAGTCTACTGACCCCGATCATCTTGGGAACAAACTGAAATTTCAAGTAAGATCAAAACCCATGAGATAGGAACAACCAAATAAAACATTAGAAAAAGAGGATCAAAATAAATAAATTCTGATAACCTAGTCTATGTACTGGTGGGTTTTCTTGTAAGGGTTCTTGACTTGTATAGATTTTATTTCACGTATCCTTGTTATATCTCTTGAACATTCAATCTGACTAAGTCATTTTTGGTATTACTAGATTGTAAAATTAGCCATCTCCATTCTTCTGATGAGTTTCAATCTTTTGATAAAAATCTTTACTCGCCTCTTTGGTAAATGTGTTTCCAATGAGGATTACTTCTCTTTATTTTCGTATTCCATCGATCCTGTTATGCTATCATGCTGATTGTAATGCTGATGAATTAGTCGATTCCACTTGCGTAGGATGTGGAAGCATCAATGGGTTCAGGAACAAATGAGCTTAGTAGGTTCAGTGACCCTCCAGGTGATGCATCTTTGGATGATTTATTTCACCCATTGGAGAATCTGGAGGACCATGGTGCTGAAGCTTCCACTTCTGCATCTACTTCACATGCAATTCATGGGAATTCAGTCTCTGATAATGGAAAGAATGACCTGGCGACAAAATTAAGGGCTACAATAGCTCAAAAGCAGATGGAGAATGAATCAGCCCAGACCAATGGTGGCGATCTACTTCGTTTAATGATGGGTGTTATAAAGAAAGATGTAATTGATATTGATACTCTGGTATGATTGGACTAGACTGATTGATTTATTACTTTCTTAGTCAAAATGCATCTAATCTTTGTGTTATGCTTTTTCTTTTCAGGGATTTGAAGATAAATTGCCTGCGGAGAATCTCTTTCATCTTCAGGTATCTGTTGCCAATTGCTGAGTTGCTTTCATAGCGATGTATTTATGCCTTTTTTTTTACCCAGGTTTTCTATTAACCAAAAGCTTTGGATTCACTTCAAAATTTTACATTCATTTGTAGAACGGAATTGCTAGTTTTATAATCGCTGTTGTAGAGGGAGTTCTCTAGAAACTTAAAATTTAAGCAAGTTTGGCATGTGTTAAAAGTGATCTCATCTAGGAGCACTATACTCTGTGAGATGCTCCTGGTTGTTGCTCTGTCCAATCTTTTTATTGTAATGTGATATGCAAAAAAATCCATCAATTTATTTACTTATGAAATTTCTTAGGGCTTCTTGAAGTCAAGAGGGCGATATATGCCCAATAAAAATTTGTCATGATAAACTAAGAGCAAGTTTGAAAGAGTTTTCACTGCTATTTTGATCCTATTGATCTTTTGTGTCCTCAGATCTGCCTGTTAACATCCCTCTTATTTTCCATTTTTTATTTTATTCGTTGTTGATTTATTACAATGTAGATCCATTTGTAGAATGACTGCGTTTCTCTAATACAGGCTGTTGAATTTGGAAAATTAGTGTCATCACTGAGGCCAGATGAACCAGAAGATGTGATTGTATCTTCCTGTCAGAAATTGACTACATTTTTTCATCAGCGACCAGAACAGAAAATTGTATTCATTACACAGCATGGTTTGCTACCTTTATTGGAACTACTTGAGGTTCCAAGGCCTCGTGTAAGTAATTTTTATAGAGCCCAGTGAATCACTTTGCTATTGTTCTGTATGCATTTAACGTTATATTTTTCTTATCGTGTCGTGGATTGTTTCATTTTCAGATCATATGCTCAGTGCTTCAGGTTCTAAACCAAATAATCAAAGATAACACCGATTTTCAGGAGAATGCTTGTCTAGTCGGTCTTGTAAGTATTCCGCAAATTTAGTTTATTAATTCGTCATCCTGAATATCCCATAAACTTACAAGAAATTCACGCAAAAGTTCACTTGGACCTGCCCGTAAACATGTAGTTTCATCCCCCTTGACCATTGAATAGCATTCAAGGAGTTATTTTCTTAAACTGGAAACGACTTGGTGATTTTTTCAACGGTTTATGAAAATACATTTTTTTTCTATAAATTTAACCCTCAAATATACACATGTTGTTGGGTGTCATGATGGCTACGGGATTGTAACAAAACTACTCTTGTTACTTAAACAGTAGTATTATATTTTCATGATATCCTGTAGATGGAGAAATGCTTTCTGAAAAGAATCAGCTACTAATTTGGTCATCTATTTTATAATCCATGCGCAATGGGAGCTCCTGTTTGGACTTTGATACCATTGTAGCAAGTGTAGATTCAGCAATTTCAGTGGATATGGATCACGTTGACCTAAACAGTGGAATTATTGCTCATCAAGTTTGTTACCTTTCCTTATAAGAATTTTCTGAAATAGCAAAAAGTATGGGTATGTAACCCATTAGGATGAATAAAACACAAGAAAGGAAGGCAGTTGAAAGTTTTCTTATTTTCTGGGTGATTTTTTTAGTTATTGTGAAGCGTACTTATCCCATAATGTGGCCAGATTCCTGTAGTGATGAGCTTTGCAGTACATGATCGTCCTCGCGAGGTACGCATGGAAGCAGCATATTTTGTACAGCAACTCTGCCAATCAAGGTTAATTTTGTAACATTGAATGGTTTTGTGGATATATATGATTTTGTTTCAATGTATATGATAAAATATTTGTTTCATCCAGCTCTTCAACGCTACAAATGTTTATTGCATGTCGTGGTATACCCATCCTGGTGGGCTTTATGGAGCCTGATTATGCCAAATATAGGTCAGCAGTTGAATCAAGTTGAAAATATTTATTCGTTTTCACTTTTCCCTATGATGGTTCTAAGCACTTTGACAGTTGCAAATGTTATTTCACTAAATTAACTTAATTTATTTGTAATTGAATATGTGTGGAGATTTTTGAAGGCCTTCATGTTGAATACAATTTAGTTTTAATGATCACATTGAGTTTAAGAAACTATAGAGATTGTATATTGTACTGCTGGGCCATGGTGAATGTTGAGTTTTTGTGGCTCTTAATGGCCCTTTTCTGTATAATTAAATATAACTATCATACTTTATATTAACAGAATAAACTAACTATTATATTGATGGAAAAGAAGGATATATTAGATTCTTAGCTTATTGGTAGGTGTTTTTGGATCAGAACTTTATCTTCAAAAGAGCAATAAAAATTCATATAAATCTACGTACCTCCAAATACCCAAGGAGTTTACTTTTCAGTTATTAGAGGAATAGATTTGTGGAAGTATACTGATGTGTTCCTGCTGTATACATTATATATGGATGAAATAATAATTACATTTTAACTTTACAAGTTTTGGTGTTTCTGAGTATTTTTAGTGTCTGAAATTTGTATAATAAGCATAACCTGAAGACGGCAAGTTTTAAACAAGCTGCCTGTCTAAGCTGCCGTTATTGCTTCTGTTTGTCTTGAGCGCCGATTTGTTTACTAAAGACAGTTATGGTTTCTCTTCTTTAATAAGAGACGAAATTCCATTAAAAGTTTTATGACTAATAAGCTCTGCCTCTTTTTTATTTTTTTAGCTCTTTGTAGTTATTTCACCTGCAGATTAAGACAACCATACTTTTCCCTTTCTGCCACCCTTGCAATATCTGACTTCAATAGTCATTATTTGTACAAGTTTCTCTTAACCAATAGTCATTTCACGTGGACTTCAGTTTGTTTTGTATTCAAATTTATTTTCAAGTCTCATTAACTAATTACTCTGTTTGCCTTAATTTCAGGGAAATGGTTCACATGGCTATCGATGGGATGTGGCAAGTTTTCAAGCTACAGAAGTCCACCTCGAGAGATGATTTTTTCCGTATAGCTGCCAAGAATGGGATTTTACTTAGACTTATTAACACACTCTACAGCTTAAATGAGGCTACCCGATTAGCTTCTATAGCTTCTGGGAGTGGGTTCCCTCCAGATGGTTCAGCTCCCCGTCCAAGGTCTGATCCTCTGGATTTTAGCAGTCCATTTGTACAGATGGATTCCTCACTTTATGGAAACGACCAACCTGATCAACTTAAGGTTAGACAAGGAGACCAAGAAGCTTCACGAGCATCTGTATCACATTCGCCTGAGTCGAGATTTCTCTTTCCAAATGTTGAGGCGTCAAGTGCTTCAAGAGTGATGGATCCTGCATCTTTGGAGAGAATATCCAATATGGCTGTAAAGGATTATGCTTCAGCCGTTCCCAGAGACCGGGAAAATGCAGACAGATGGAAGAATGAATCTTCTAGAGCTGAAGTTGAGCTAAAACAGCAAAAAGTTGTAAATGCAACAAATAGGCCATCCACGGATAGGGCTCCGAAATCTGTGGACATGACAACAAATGGTTCATCTGCTTATACTGGAAGCCAGCAAGAGAACGTTCGACCCCTGCTGAGTTTATTGGATAAAGAACCACCATCATCCCATTTCTCTGGCCAGCTTGAGTATGTACGTCATCTCACAGGAGTGGAAAAACATGAAACCATTTTACCTCTTCTGCATGCATCTAATGACAGGAAGACAAATGGACTTGATTTTTTGATGGCTCAGTTTGCAGGTGATAATAGCTATCCTCTTTTAACACAGTTTTCTTGAGAGAAAGTCGGTCCCCAAGTTTTGCCCTTTAATATTTATCCCCAAGATTATTACATGGTTAAAGGCATACTATTGGCATGTTCTCTTCTGTTGTTTATATTGATCTCAGCTTTGTGATAGTCTCTTGAAATCCTTAGAATTGGCATAAATATATTCAATCCTGATAAGATATAGTTTCTGCTCAGAGGTTACCGGACGAGGAAGGGAAGCTTCTAATGTGGATTCATTGCCTAAAAGTTCACCAAAAGCAGCTAATAAGAAAATGGTTAATCTGGCATCCAATGGAGGAATTGTTGCCGCTTCTGGACTTGCATCTCAGAGAGCATCAGGTGTGCTGTCTGGTTCAGGGGTTCTAAATGCTAGACCAGGGAGTGCGACATCATCTGGGCTGCTTTCCAATATGGTGTCTCCCTGGAATGTTGATGTTGCTCGGGAATATCTCGAAAAAGTTGCCGACCTTCTACTTGAGTTTGCTGCAGCAGACACAGCCGTCAAATCTTACATGTGTAGCCAAAGTTTGCTTAGTCGTCTTTTTCAGATGTTCAATAAGATAGAACCCCCCATTCTTTTGAAGGTACAGCAAAAGGTGCTTTCTGTTTGATTGTGTTTTGATACTTTGATCTTTGTCATGCTTAAGGAAAAGGACTTTTTTTTTTTTGTTTTGCTTCTTTCAGCTGTTGAAATGTATAAATCATCTGTCAACCGATCCACATTGCTTGGAACATCTTCAGCGAGCAGATGCTCTCAAATATTTGATTCCCAACCTTGATCTCAAAGATGGTTCCCTTGTCTCACAAATCCATCACGAGGTGAGACGTTGAATCTTGTTTCTTATTTTCCTTTTTCCTAATTTTTCGACCTAATGATCGTAAGGCAGCCTCTATGCAATCACTACATAATAAAAGTAAATTTATGGATGAAAGCCTGCAGCCATTCATTTAGTTCCTGTTTTTCCTTTTTTTTTTTTTCTTTTGTTCTTTTATACTTGAGGTGCGGCCAGGTGATGAAAAGTAAACAAGAAAAAGTATTTGGAATGGGTTTGGAGGCGTGATTTCTCTTGTGGAATAAAATAAGCTATTGAACTAGCTTGAATTGTGTGCTTGTGGGTGCAGTTACTATATGACCCCATGCTAGATCCAGTACATGTGGGTTTACAACATACTAAAACTGTTGCAATGTTGCTTTACTATATCTTTGAAGAAAAAATATGAGTTGAGGGAGAGAGGTCAATGAACTACTTGCATGTTTATGTGTGGTATTATATCAGTTGTCGTTAGATGACTATTTATGAAGAATGCAAAAGAATGATCAGAAGTGGAGAAAGTAATGGAGTGAACAGAAGAAGAAAATCATAGAATGAAAAATTAGAGAAAATAGAAAGAGGGAGGAGGGAAATCCATCCGGCATCATTGTTTATGAGATCAGAGATTTCTGATTATTCATATTAACGATTAGTTTTAGACAACTAGATGCAAATGCGATATTGCGTATATCATATGTGGTTCATATATAAATGTGAATATATATGTACAAGAGGTGGTTGTGTTTGAGGTGAAATGAGTTCTATCTACTTTCATATTTGTTGAATCTTTTATGTTAAGGACATCAAATTTCGCTACGTGGATTGCTAGTAAGAGATGTGGCTGTGAAACCCATTAGAGGAATTGGAACTTTTTTATTGTCTATTATTGGGGTTCTGGTGCACTCTACTTGAGTAGTTCCAACCTTACCTCTCATGAGACTTTGCCTCACTTGTTTCCTTTGCTGAAGGTCCTTAATGCACTATTCAACCTGTGTAAGATTAACAAGAGGAGACAGGAGCAAGCCGCAGAAAATGGGATTATTCCCCACTTAATGCATTTTATCATGTCAGATTCACCTTTGAAGCAGTATGCATTACCGCTGCTATGTGATATGGCACATGCATCACGAAATTCAAGAGAGCAATTACGAGCTCATGGTGGGCTTGATGTTTACCTCAGCCTTCTTGAAGATGAACTCTGGTCTGTGACAGCATTGGATTCTATTGCTGTATGCCTGGCCCATGACAATGAAAACAGGAAAGTGGAACAAGCTTTGCTAAAAAAGGATGCCGTACAGAAACTAGTTAAGTTCTTCCAGTTCTGTCCGGAACAACATTTCTTGCACATTCTGGAACCATTCTTGAAGATAATCACGTAAGTCATCTTTTGATTCCAACATTTGATTGCTTTAATTTTTAATACACAATACTTATGTGCACCTGCATAATGGCACTGCAGTCACAAACCGGTTGTCTTCATTTCTAGTATGATGTAAAATTAGGCACTCGGTTGTCATCTATCTTCTAAGGCGTGCTTTTGAAATAAGTGCTTCATTATCTGTGGTGTAAATGGCCTTTTTTAGATCATCACTAATCCTACTGTAAGTTTTTTGAAAAATGAGTTACACATAAGACGAATAGACTTTGTGACCCAACATACTTCTGCAATGCATCTTTTAATATGATGGTGAATTTGATGTGGCATATATAATAATTGACAGGGTGAGAATACTCGGTTATTTTCAGCGGGTTTGTTAACATCGTGAGACAATTACCCACCATATTGAAATCCAATCAACATACATGGGCGTATATATATACACAACATTTATATAAATTATAAACAACAAGTTGTGTGACTGTATTTTTTGAGCTGTCTATTGAATTGGAGTTATGCATGCTTTTAGCATGTTATTCCATATATGGTGGCTGTGTAACTATCCATTGTCAAAGCTCTGAAATGTTTTAATTGATATGTTAATAACATGGATTCAACTTGTACCTAGATGGATCCATTTTGATCAAATAGTTGAGATCCATCCCCATTGCCCATTGGGTCTAGGTTTTCAATAAAAGAACGTATCCCAATTAATCTGAATTTGAATGAAAGATGATGACATCTTGAACTTCTAGTTACATTGATTAAACATCATGGAGATTCATATATTGCTTTCAGGATGATAGTTGACAGTAATATTATCACGTTACAGGAAATCATCTCGGATAAATACTACCCTTGCTGTTAATGGTTTGACCCCACTGCTTATCTCAAGACTTGATCACCCAGATGCAATAGCTCGGCTGAATTTGCTTAAATTAATAAAGGTAAAAGAACTTGTTTTTCCTCTTTGATCCTCTGTTTCTTACAATTAGGACATAGGCTGGGCTGGAATGTGATCAATGCTTATTTTCTGAGATATATTATTTTATTTCTGGTGGTTGTTTTTGCTTGTTTCAGGTTGTTTATGAGCACCACCCTCGTCCGAAGCAACTGATTGTGGAGAATGATTTGCCGCAAAAGCTTCAGAATTTGATAGAGGAGAGAAGAGAAGGGCAGAGCTCAGGAGGCCAAGTTCTGGTCAAACAAATGGCCACCTCACTCCTCAAGGCACTCCACATCAACACTGTTTTGTAAAATACCTCCATTATTTGTTCTCTGTGTTGTACATGTCCACGCCATTTTAAAGCTTCACTGCCTTCATTCCTATAATCCCTCTTGTTTGTGATGTGTGCTTTTTTTGTCCGCTAATAGTGTATTTCGGTCATTTTGTTGATAAGAGTTTAATAATGAACTACTCGATTGTTGTATTTAACCAAGTGTTCGGTGAACTGTTACCTGTTACGAACTTAACTCGTTTACAGCTTACGAACTTAACTCGTTTACAGTTTATAGAAATAAGAAGTTAAAGAAAGAATTGTGATTTTATTAGACGTGAAATTCATTTGAAAAGTAATTTGTACCATTTGGCAAAAGTACATAAATTTATAATTGGTTTCTACTGGGTTCAGTTAGTCAAGTACGACAATTCCAATCCATCACTATGATTAACTACACTCGAGTTTGGCCCGTTAAAAAGTGACATACTAAAGTTGAACCCTCCAACGCTCAGGAGCCTATGAACTTTTAAATTGACTAACCTCCCTTTCACTACTAAATCGTCAAAAGAAGGTGGTGATGTTTCCCACTCTACATTAGTATGATAACTTTAATATAGCTCGTCTTTCCTCCAAAAGAACTTCAGAAGATCTCATCAATTTCTATTCTAAAAGACAACAAAACTCGTCAAGCAATTTACCATACCACACGCAAAATTAACTTGAGTACTACCACTAAGCTACGGACCCGATTTTGCAATATTATATCCAAAAAATTCAAAAATTATAATCCATATAGCATACAGTTGTGCTAGAGAAAAAAAACCATCCTTTAAATCCTATGCATTGTATCATTTTATAGTGCATATAAATGACAATACATGTAACCATAGAGATACGAAAACATAAATGTAGTTATTTCAACTTCAGAGTCTGGCGGTCACCACACACAAACTAAAGTAAATAAACAGAACTCCAAATTGCTCCAAAAAACTCGGCCATAATCAAGGCAACCCAGTGTAAGAGCCATGATGATTCTATTCTGGTCCCCACAAAACATTTTACCACACTACTCGTCGTCATTGAATGTTGTCTTCTTTCCTGAACGAAACAAAGACAGCAGTAGAGTTACATACAAGTAAAAACACACACCAGGAAATCCCAGAACTCAGACAAAACACAGGAGAAAACAAAGCAATACAGTCAAAATCGACAAAAGTCAGACTCGATTTTCTCACATGCTTCTACTACTTGGTATATAAATGTGTTCAGAGCCTACTACTTGGTATATAAATGTGTTCAGAGCCAACAAACACCATTATTCAGTGATGATAACTGAAAGAAACAAAAAATAAAGGAAAAAAAAAAAGAAAAAAATTAGCTTTCATACCAGTTCCTGGTGCAGCCAAATTTGGTTTGTTGGAGGGTCCTCTTCCCCTACCCCGGCCACGAACACCACGGCCTCCGGAATCCCGTCCACGGCCACGGCCACGGCCACCAGAGTCGCGTCCACGGCCACCAGAGTCCCGTCCACGGCCTCTGCCGCCACTGAAGTCACCTCGAGACCTTGCCTCTTCAACTGTAAGGCTGCCCTCTCCAAATTCCGATCCATTTAGTTCCAGAGCCTGGTTGAACGCATCTGAATCCTTGAAGTCGATATATGCTATACTGTATCCATCAAATCACAATATTTCAGCCAATGGCACAAATTAGATCCTAGAATGCGGAAACTAGATGGAAAGAGAGTGACCCCTAAAATTGCTTTGCATTTCAAAAGGTATTTGGAAAGCAGAATACAAAAAATCATAATATTATAGCCACAACAAGTCGTAAAATGGAATATGTCAAAGCACTTGTAGGTTGTAACATATGAATGTGTAAACGATATAAATTACCAAAAATAAGTAAATTTAATAACAATTAAGAGGAAGATATTAATTTCTTTTAGGGTTTTTACACAGGATGATGATGGCAATATAAGGATGGTGATAATAGTGTGGAATGAATAGAATACGGACCCTTTAACACCACCCTCTGGATCTTGTGGAATGGAAACTCTTGCAATTTCACCACAAGAACCAAAATGATCTTTCAGTGAGTTCCTAATCTGCAAGTTACAACAAGCGTTACTATATCCCAATGGATAACAACTTAAAAGAAGCTGAACAACCAAAAAAAAAAAGGATTAAATGATTGTGTAATAGACACCTGATCTTCACCATCATTTCTATCAAATCCACGGACAAATACTCTGAGACCCTGAGCACTCTGTCCCTTCTGGAAAGATTGTGAATCTCTGCCACCAGAGAAATCAAGATACCTTTTGTTATATGGAACAAATAGCATACAAGAAAGCAACATTGAAAGTGCAGTCATACCCACTCCTTGGGATGTATGCTCCCCTTTCCCTAGCAAGATCAAGCCTCAAAGCACGGCCAAGCAAATCTTTCCCATTTAATTCGTTCACAGCCTACACATATTTAAACGTGGCAGATTTGATGGCAAATTACAAAAATGCTACAAAATATGAAGGCCCAGGTCAATGCAATCATCAAATGTTGGTCTGGCAAGAATGATTAACCACAAGACAATGAAGTCGAAACCAGCAATAAGGGTCAGTATTTATTATAAAAATCTTTGGCATCTCCTAATAGAAACAAATAACACATCAATGGCATTAACAAACGAGGGGGTCTAAAGAAAACAAAGTTGATTGCGCTATACACATACAAAACAATGCTATAGTAAGGATACATGTGCCATTCTGTCACATTTACCATATACTCATTTGCCTCGACATTGCGGAGTTAGTAAGTATCATCACAATAGATATCGAACTAAACATAAAAAATATAACAGCTACAGGAATAATCAACAGACTAAGTCTACAAATACAAAAAATGATGCAATTAGACCTTTTACATGGAACAATAAAAGTTCAACCTCATTAATTTGGGATAATAAATGCAATATAAAAATATAATGAACGACTCTTAGGCAGAGCTCAGTATGACATCATTATCAACATTTCTATAAGAACAGTTTCTAACACATACTGCAGGTGTGACTCAGTACAGTATTCGACTACACACATAATTGAATGAAGGCTAAATAGAGGACCATTTAGCTGATTCTTAAGTTTGAAATGGACAAATACCTTCTGTGCTTCTTCAGCAGTAGCAAAGTCCACATGACCAAAACCTTTTAATGAATTGTCTGGGTGAACGGCAAAGCGAACATCAACAACTTCTCCAGCTGGTTTGAAGAAATTCTCACTGAAAAATAAAATTTTACAGTTTGATTAAGAAAAGAAACCAACAATAATTTTAGTATACCGTAATAGAAGCTTACACATCAGCTTGCTCGACAGAGAAGGGAAGATTCGCAACAAATAGAGTTCTGGAGCCAGTTGACTGCTCTTTCGGAGTGGTTGGGGTCTTGGGCTAAGATGCAAAAGCAAAAAACATAACATGAGCAAAAGGTAAGTATAAATTAGAGGCAAATCAGCATTTCATCATGCAGTTTAATCAACTCCCGCCATCAAGCACAAACATTAGACATGCAATCCAAGTTGACTTAAACAACAGTAACAGTTTTGATAGATTCATGAACATGGGCCAAAATTAATGGTGGAAAGAAATCACTCACAGATTTGTCAAACCCTTTCTCAGCATTTGCCTTTGAAGCTGTTGCATCAATCATTTCCACATCAGTGTCCTGTATCAACCAGAAATATCAAGCATGAGTACAAGCAAGAGAACAGAATAGCCAAATTTTGATGTCATTAGAAAAACTATGAATTTATTGGAGTTCACCACTTGAAGCTAGACAACTACTTCCCTTCTTTGAGATTATGACAGACCGCTAACAAAGTTTGTCAATAGCTAGTTCAATTTAACAAGATCATTTATTTGCAAAATCTCCACAATGAAAATGCTCAATCACCTTCTTTGCCCCCTGCGTTTTCGTAGGTTCATCCTCATCCGAACTTTCTTCTTCACTACTACTGTCATCTTCTTCAGCTCCCTTGCTTGATTTAACAGCATTTGGAGCTCCAGACTGCTGAAAATTAAGAAAATCGAAATAAGAAACAAAAGAAAAGTTGGACAATAACTGGATTTAAATGTAGATACATCAAACTACTAGAACCTTGATTTTTTTCTTTTGAGGCTCCTCATCATCACTTTCTTCAGAACTCTCATCGTCAGAGTCTTCATCCTTTGCCTACCAAAATAGCATTCCGAATGAATCATCTCATGAATAACATAAATTAACAGTACAATTAAATCATTCTAGGTCATTCGTGAAGTTCCCCAAAGCTCAATAAAAGCTCTAATGCAGGCGGATGAATGCAGGGGACAGACCTGTTTTGTTTCAGCAATGGTCGTTTTGACAGCAGCAGTTTTAGGGACCTGCGAACCACATAGCAAGAAGAAATGAAGAAATATTCAATCCATGTAAAACACAGCATACATGCATCAAAATATTGAATATGCTAGACAAGAACTTCAATAGCGAAACTATTGGACACCAACACATGTCATGTAGAAGATATATATCACTAGGGTGTTTCAGTAAGCTAATTAATGGATCTTTATAGATCCTATGTGATCAAATAAAGGGAACAAGAATAGAAGAATGAATGGAGAAGTTAGAAATTTCGAATAACATACAACAAAATACATTGATTTCAGAAAATGCAGTTGAAACAGTAAACAAAAAGAAAACAAAATCAAGCATTACATTCACAAATAAAAGGAATCCGTATAGAAACATAATTACAAGTTCAATGCACTTACATCCTCCTCTGAGCTGCTGCTATCATCTGACTCAGATTCCTCACTCGACTCATCCTTCTTTGCAACAGCTTTCAAGTGATTCTTAGCTGGGACATCTTCATCAGAGCTCTCCTCATCATCACTGCTCGAGTCATCCTTCTTTTTTATAGCAGCTACGGGGGCCTTGTTCACAGGGGGTGCAGGAGCCTTCTTGCCTGTTGGAGCATCCTCTTCAGTATCAGACTCGTCTTCCGAAGAGTCAGAATCCTCACTGCTGGATTCATCTTTCTTCTTTGTTGAAGCTTCAGATTTCTTGTGACTCACAGCAGGAGTTGCTTTCTTTGCTGCAGCAACATCCTCATCAGAACTGTCATCGTCTGATGAAGAATCAGAATCATCACTTGATTCGTCCTCCTTCTTGGCAGGAACAGGAGCTGGGCCCTTTTTTGCCAGAGGTGCAGGAGCTTTCTTAACTGCAGCAACTTCATCGTCTGAACTGGATTCATCCTCAGAGGAGTCAGAATCATCACTAGATTCAGCCTTTTTCTTGGAGGCTAAGTGACCGTTCTTTGCAGCAACTGAAGGCTTCTTAGGGTTTGAGTCCACATGGCCGTTCTTGGCAGCTACCTTGACCTGGTAGGGTTCATACCAAAAGAAACTTAGTTTGCAGAAGTCAAATACAAGAGAGCAACAAACATCAGTGATTCCATGATTTATAGATAAAGTCAATAGAACAATTTAAAGCAGTCTTCAGAGAATAAAGAGCAAACTCCCCTGTGTATTAAAACTATAAGTCTATTACGATTTCAAACTCTGAGCAGATATTAACATCATTAATGACAAGAGTCTTACTTTCCAATGTTTGTATTTTTTTATATGGTAACTTTTCGCCGCTTAAAAGTATTTAATTGTGCTTGAAAAGTATAAGAAATTGCTAGTAATGTATACATAAAACAGTCTACTTGTAGTTATAGTCAAAATTCAGACAGGAGACAAACACGATAAAGTAAATATTATCAAAACAAAAAATTTACAAGGAGAAGGTAAATGAACAATGGGGGTGGTGGAGGTAATTAAAGATCCAAACCTTGGGCTCATGCTCCGACTCAGAAGAAGTATCCTCCTCACTCGAGGATTCCACCTTCACGGCCTTCTTCTCAGGCTTCAATACATTCTTCTTTTCCTCCACTTTCTGTTTTTTAGCACTCACCACTTCCTTCCCAGCAACATCCTCTGCTTCCCTCTTGCCTATTGGACATTGAAAATAAAATCGGCAGATCATTAAACACCAGAGCACAAATCATAAGAAAAAAAAAATTGACACTAATTACCTGCGTATAAGAAAACAAAAACCAACCAGATATCAACCATGAATATAGAGGAACAAATAGCAGGACAAACTGAATGAGAAAGAATACACCAAAAGAACTAGACAAGCTACATGGGCATTAAAAACCGCAAAGAAAACAGAAATAGGGAAGGAAAAGAAAACGATTAATCACCATAGAGAGCTAAATACTTCACCAAAAGATTAGAGGTAACTAATCAGGAAAGGAAGATACAGTGACTAACCTTTCTTTAAAGGCTTGGTAGGAACAGGTGCAGCAACGACCGCAGGAGCCGATACCTACAAGCAAAAACAAAAAGCAAAAACCATCAAACACATCACGAACAGCTCAAACATACAGATTTAACGAATAGATGAAACAAAACAAAGTCTTCGTTTTGAGTTTCGTTTTGTACTCACCTTAGAGGCAGATTTCTTGGAGGATTTACCCATAGCAAATATATGAAGAAAGAAATAAAATGAAATCCGAAGGCCGCTGCCAAATGAGAACAGCCGAGTGATATATAAAGAGAACAAAAGCCCTAAAAAGGTTTTAGGGTTTATTGGAACAGATACTCTGGCAGGCAGTGCGTGAATAGCAGAGTGGTGGTAGCCTTTTTAGTAGGTTCCCAAAACCTTATTTTTCAATAAATAATTATATGCAACTTATACTTTACATGGATTTGGCTTTTGTAATCTAAAGAATTTTCGGTACTAAATCGCAACCATTAATATATGATTTATCTGTACCGTAATCTCTGACCATCGACGGTTCATTTTTCACCGAAAAAGACTCATGTTTGTTTATAAGATTTTTCAAAAAAATTTCAATATTTTAACTCAACCACTTTTTTAACTCAACTTTAACTCAACCTCACTATCATCAATATTATCAATATAATTAAATAATATCAATCAATCAATCATACACACAACATTAACCTTAATTCACTATTCATCCACTCACATTATTTTAACTAACTATCACTTTAAATCATCTTTCTCATACTCTTACATCAAATCAATTTTAATTATTTTATTTTAAATATTATTTTAATATACCCACTAACATCTAACCATACCACATTTTTTAAAATTAACCAAACCAAACCAACAAATCTAAACAAAACAAAAAATTTTCATAAACAAACGTGTCAATATGGCCAAGATTGAAATCCTTAGATTGGGCCGGAAGCAATGGCTTTGGGCTGATTTGTAAAATTAATTTGGACCAAAATATAATCCAATAAAAGACTGAAAACAAAAGTCCGAATATACAATATAATTGGGCCGAAATATTTTCCCGATAAATTTGGCCGAAAGAATTACAACGCGATAACATGAATTTCCGATCGATTCGATTGATGACGAATAACAAATAAAATTACACGGCTTATTATATTAATCAGACTACATCTAATTAAATAATAATAAGACTAAATGGAAAGATGTCGATCAATAATACAATATAGACAATTAATTCAAATAATAATAATAATAATGTCAATACATAATATTCGAAAAATCCAATATTTGAACGGGGCTCTACAATAGCAGTAGCCCATTGCCTACTCTCGCTACGAACGCGGCCTCGTGAGCCGCGAGTTGCACCCGAAGACAGCCGCTGCTTTCCTGCACTCGCTGCAAGCTCAGTTTTGGGAGCTCGCGAGTCAGCCGTCGTCTACCTAGGTACTCGCAGCGAGCCCATGCTCGCGACCAGCTAGACGCGTCCACGAGAAATCATGGCACTCGTTGCGAAGCAGCGCTCGCAACCGACGAGACGCGACTCGAGGCAGCGGCACTCCCAGCACTCGCAGCGAGCCTGTGCTTGCAACCGATGAGACGCGACACGAGGCAGTTAATCTCGGCACTCGCTGCGAAATCCTGCCCGCGACCCGCGAGTGCACCCATGCCTGCCATTTTCCACTTCCAAACTCGCTGCGATATGATTTTCAAGACCTACGACTTAATTGTGTGGGCACCAAGTGTGTGTATTTGAGCTACTATATATGCATTTAGTCCCTTTGTGATGAGGGCACCTAGATTTCATTTATCACTTTTTTACTTTAGGAATTGCTCTCTCATTTTTAGTTTTCTCTCTATTTTACGATTGGATCTCTATGACATCATTTTTCAGAGACTTTTCGGCAACCTCGCTTTTATTCAGGTTTCAAGTTTTTTATTCCGACTCTCGTCTAGCACGCGATAGAGGAGTGGGTACTAGTTTCTAAACTAATTACCTCGTTTTTGCTTATGAATTATTTTCAAAGTAAATTTGGTTGTTTGCTTGATGGGTGATGGAAAGTTTGGAGCTTTTTGTTTTTATTGTTTGCCTAAGTAATTAGAATAGTTAATTACTTGCTTATCTAGTTTTAAAGATTGAGACCTTAATTAGGGCCTAATCATTTAGGTTTAAAAGGCTAGTATTAATTACCTATGGCTTAGTTCTTGCATATTTCTTTTAATTGTTTGTATTTTACTAGTGTGTAACCCGTGCGATGCACGAATAAACAATTTTAAATAATAATTATAAATTAAAAAGTGGGGTCAAGATGTAAGGTAATTTTCAATATAAAACCATCTCGTTACAATCAGATAATGTTCGACCAAAAATCAAATAATGTTCGACGAAAAAAAAATCATACATTGTTAAAGACTTTCTTGTACACAATATTATTTGTTTGATTACAGGGCAACTCTTCGTTCGAACATAAATATAGATTAATAATTGACCATAGTTAACAGTTTACCACAATTTAAGTGGCCCATTTTTTTTCATTATTGGAACATTATTCTAAGCCCAATTCATAAAAAAATAAAAAAAATAAAACAAATATAAAATATGGCCCGTATAATGGATAAAATATGTGGCATTTTTTCTTTTCTTTTTTTTTATCAGATCCGTAAATGAAAGCCCAATGCATAAAAAAAAAAAACAGATGTAAAGAGAAGTAGATTTCGGCCCGTCTAACAACCAAAGAAAAGATCGAGTACCAATTTTCATTCTGATCGGACGCTTTCCGTCGGTCAACACAGATCTAACGGGTTTAAGTAAATTATGGGCAATATAAACAGGTCATTTTTTCGGAAAAATTAGGGTTTTATCATTTCATCTCACCCATTTCTCTCTCATCTCTCTTGTCTCGTCTGTATTTCACGTACTCACCGTATGTAAAGGTACACTTTTTTTTGCCGATACAGTTAAAAATTCGATCATTGACGGAGAACACAATCCACATCTAGCGTGGATCCTGTATATATGTTTTTGTAGATCGAATTTTGTCGGCCTTTTTTTTATGTATTTTTCTTTATTGGTTAACTAGTACAGAGCCCGTGCGATGCACGGGGTGCACAATTTTAAGGATATTTATCCAGGCTTATAATTATATACATGAATAAAGAAAAATGTACGGGATATATATAGTACGTGACCCGTGCGAAGCAAGAGATATATTTATTTAGAGAATTATATTATAAGATGCAATATTCAATAAAAGTTTATAATACGCAAGAAATTGTACAATGTTCAATAAAAGTTTTATAATATTCAAGTGGAGTCTTAAAGTCTCTTGTACATTAAGACTACTGACAAAATAATATTTTAATCAATGAGTTTCCTTTCCTTGTAGCCAAATTGTGAATGTGATTTGAGGAGTACAACAAATCGATATATAGCTGACTTGCTTTTTTCATTGTATTTTTTTTTTTTTTTTTTTTTATAATGAATTTAAAGATATTCTAAAATATAGCAAAAATTAATTTTTTTATTACAATTAGGAATTTTACTAAATATAAACTCTCAATCTATGGTGTTAATCAACGTTTAAGTCTAAAAAATTAGGAATTTTTACCTCTTTTAATCAACGTTTAAGTCTAAAAAACAATAGAGTTATTATAAGTTTTTTTTCTACATCTTTTAAAACATTAAATATGAGCATGTTAGGGCTAGCTTGTAAAATAATTAATATATTATCTCACTAAAACATTTATACTAATAAAAATTTAATTTTAGCATATAAATTTATCCCTTGATATAAGAGAAAGTAACAGTTTTACTTATTGTTGTTCACCATATAATATTTAATTATTATTTTATTATATAATAAAAAAGGAATATTGTTAAATAGTGTAGTAGAATTGTTATAAAATTATATGATTTTTTTTTTTTACAATATGGATTTAATATTTTTTTATGATTTGATAATATAAACAAATCTATACTTAACTTTGACAAATAGAACAAATAAATATTTTAGTACGTATTTAATGTATATACTAAATAGGAATATATTTAGTATAATCAAATACCAAATATAATCGAATAAGTCAAAGTGTACATTTTTATTTGGTATTTGATTTTTTTATTATTAAAATCTTTTTATTATACTTACCTTTTTAAAATAAAACAAATAAATAAATCAATTAAATAAATAAAATATTATAATACCAAAATAGTAATGACATTTAATGCAGTTGACTTTTCTGGATAGTAAATGTAGTAAATAGAATATCCTTTTATATAGTATAATACGGAAATAGTAATGCAATAAATGTTGTTTACTTTTCTGGCTACTTAATTTGGTAAATAGTACCCCCTTTAATATAAGTATAGATATCATATCTGTTCTCGTAAGTTTTTTTTATATATTTATTTCGTGTATTTCAATTTATGTTTGTAAGACGAACACTATTTTCAATCTTTCAATCGCTCTTCACAAAAAATGTGAATCGGTTGTTGGAAATATATATTAAAAATTATACGGACCTGGTTAAATTTTTCAACTTTAGGCCAAATTCTAAAATTTTTTAGTTGAAAAAGAAGAAAATCGGATATGAAAGTATTAATTGTTTTTACAAATTTCTTTGGTTTTTCCAAAACAATTGCAGATCTGGGTGGATTAATTAAATTTGGACCCCATTTGATAAAATTTTTTTCAGAAAAATTAACGAATCTGATCAATTTTTCGATTTTGGGTCGAATTTCGAAAAGTTTGAGTAAAAAAGAAATGATAATCGGAAATGAAGTATTGATTATTTTTAAAAACCTCTTTGTTTTTGTCATAACAAATTGCAAGTCTGGGTGCATTCAATATTTTTGTATCCCTCTATACATTTCTTATCAAATTAGGTGTTTATGTGTAAGATCTTGTACAAATATTCAGATGCATACCATTTCAATTATGTTTTTTTATGATATTCTGCTAATTCGATAAAAAAAATGATTGGATTATGGTTAATATTCTGGTCTTCTGTCCAAATCAGATTTTTTCACCATTTAAATACTAAATCGGCCATAATTAATGTTGTTTGTTTTATTTGCCATGATTTTCTCCAAAATAAATTAACAACTGCCCTGATTTAAGGCTCCATTTAATAATGCTCATTTTTTTTGCCAAAAAAATAAATAAAAGTTACTAATAGTGGTATGTAATTAATGCAAACGAATTTTGACCATAGTTGACATACTATTTTTAAAAAAAGGTTATTCTTTATACATATATATATATATATATATATATATATATATATATATATTTCGATTAGTAGAGACTCCGGTAGTTTAATTTTCATCTTTTCTTGTTTAGCTCTCGTTTTGCTTGCTTGCTTTCGATCGCACTAATTTCCTAATAAGATTAGCCTTAATTCAAACATATCAACCTTGAATAGAATGTTTAGGA